GATAACAGTAACGTACACATTCGAAATGGTAGCACACTTCTTCCTCATATAGCCCGTAGCATTGCCTACGGTTTACCTTTATTTTTGCAAATTTTACTCATTGAATTTATTTCACTAAATTTATTTCTGATACTGCCGTATGACTGACTTCATATTTTCTGGAGGTAATGAGTAATGAAGAGAAAACCTCATGAATCCATCATCCTTTCGTCTGCTGATCGACCTAAATGAAGGCTTGAACGTATGTTTTTTTTTCGGGAACGAAAAATATCACTGAGACGTCGACATTCGGATTAGGACAAAGTCAAAGAGCCGCGAGAAGCGTATTGGATGGTGAATCAGCTGTTAACAATTTAATAAGGAGTATCATATTACCAGAGATGTGGTGAAGGACGATAATTATTCTTAGGATCAGATAGATAGATCCATTTGGCTTTCGAAATTCTACAAAATGTACCTTTCCCCGTTTTTATTCTCATTAGAGTTAACCTTTTCATTCTGTGATCTTTCCATGTAATGCTCCACCCCCCGCAACAGCCCACCCCCTTATGGTTCAGCATTCAACTCAGTGTCAATTAACAACGGCTACATGGAAACACAAGTGCTTCCTCTCGATTGTGAATGGGGATTCTCTACGTCTACGTTTGGACCTAACCTTTGGCTTACTCTTACCTTCGATTTCTACAACCATCTTCAGGTGGTAGAGATTTGATTCTATCCAGCCGTCACCGTTCCGGGAGTATGTGCCCTCCGTGCTGGCGTTAAGGTGACGTTGTAGTGACCCGGGTGATGTTACAGTTTGAGAAGCCTTCAGAACAACCACATCCAACTTCCTTATTCCTCTCTTTCGAGTAATTGTTCAAGAATTCCAGGTATACAGCTGATGTGAAAGGATTACAAGTCAGTGTGACTGGTTTGTCTCTGTTGTCCTTATCCTAAGTACATTATAAGTAAGATACATGATCTCCATCTTAAGCCAGCCAGATTGATGTCTCCTAATTCCAGCTTCTATTCATCACATCTAAATGACATCGTGTATGGCCGCAAATCATGAAGTACATAACTGGTAATGCACTTCAATACTATGCTAAGATTAGAGTAATTGTAGGTAGATCCTCCCTCACCTCTATGGGAACTACGGTGCTTTCACTCATATTTCACGTGCTTCGTACCTGAAGCGATCCGTTCATCATTTTCTTTCCACATTAGAACGTAACACAATAAGAATTACCATTAAGTACATACCATAGGGTATCATTACATGAGGGACTTCTATTTTATGGGAATCAACCTCAGTTTCAAGTTACTAGTTAACTCAATGTCCTGAGTCCTTGTTCAGCTCAATACTGAGATGCGCCTTAATAGGCTTCTTTGTTCTCTACATGCTTGACACAGCTGAAGCCACCCAGATGGGGCGAAACCCAGGTGCCCTAGGAGAGCAGTTATAGTACCTTAGTCGTAGGGCACTTTCAATGGACAGTATTTTTTGGTTTAATCATTTTTTTACAGGCCAAAGAGAAGAGATTGAGAGCGTGGCTCCGGTTCTTGAAAATCCTGCCACAACCCTATCATTTAATTGGACTTACTGCGTAGTAACATAGGCATGGTGCTGAGAGCTGGACTCTCACAGGACCAGTTTTTGTTTTTGCGATGCGCTCCGCATCCGACTTCCAATAGGAATCGTAGTGGCATTTGGATGCGTTTCTTATCAATACAATGAATATAGTGGCAAGTTTTCAAACTCGTGACCAAGCGTGTTGATAGTGCGCCTCTTGCCCCGCTAACCACCACCGCTTTTATAGTCCTTAACTAAAAAATTGTTCACTTAAAATATATGAAGTTGGTTCAGAACAAAGGTCGGCTTGATATAGTAGCAAATCACAGTCGTTTCTTTTATTTGGACTTCTTTTTTCTCCATATATTTCATTCATTGGCGGAGGTGCTACAGTGGCAAGTGGCGCACTTCACACACGCATGGACACGGGTTCGAATCCTGGGTCCGGTTATCCGACTACCGGGCTAGGCAAACCAAGCCTTCCATCCCTCTGGGGCCGGTTAATTGCTACCAGACTCTACTGGAAGGATAAAAGCACTGAGTTGTACATCGGCTGGTCATCGCAAATCATTGTACAGGCCACAAACGCTTTCACTATGCCACTACGATTCTGAATTGAAGCCAATGCGGGGGCGCATCCCTCAGACGGTACTGATCAACGCCCAAAAGGATACGGGATAGGACAAGGACTCTATACTTTATCCTTGTTAATTTATTCGGGTCGGTCGTACTTCCTGGAGCTCAATCAACGACCTATTGACAGTTGTACTTCACAGATTTCGTACTTCAGAGCTTCATTCACAGAAATCAGAAATGTACTGTACTGAACTCAAGCTACTTCAATTAATCAGTCTATTGTTCTGTAAATAATTTCAACATAGAACTTTCGAGAATATCGTGTAATGTAAATACCACTTCATTATGGATCCTACAGTAATAAGAGATGAGAAAATAAATGGTTCTGAGAAGTAGGCACTTTTTTAGCAGGTTTTTGAAGTATGGTCTTATGCTCTTAACTGGGTAACTACTTTCTGGTATCTGTCGTCTTGCATGATCATGAAGTTTTCCAAAAGTGAAGATGCCTTCGAATGTACCAAAGGAGTTGGCCAGAGGCCTTTTCAGATTACTCATTTTCTAACAATGTTTTACAAAAGTAATACAAGGATCTAGTCTACAGCTTTATCAGACCCTGTCAACGAGTCGATAGGGCCGGTCAATGAAAGTGTCTCCTCCCACTCCCAGACGAATCAGGTAGCCAGTGTCATCGAGTGGGAGTAAATGCCTTTTCGGTTCCGTCCCGGTTCGTACATATTGAAGGTTTACTTGTCAGAAAATATGGAACGACCAGATCTAACGTTCAGTGGCTGGACCACAAGTTGCAAGACCAGGACAAGCACGACCAATTTAGACCGTCCTGCTGAAAAGGCAAAACACGCGGCCCTGAGGTATATAGCCAAGATTGGCATTCGCTAGGAAAGGTTAGTATGGAAAACTGGGGATAAAGAACAGCGCTGATAAGCTGAGCTCAGCACTAAACCTCAGCCGGTCCTATTTCCAGAACGTTACTCACAATACTTGTCTTGAACGGAATTGTCGTGCCTGAACGTGTTAAGAAAACTACCTACAGCTCTTAATAGGAGTTAGTTATTGAAGGTGCTCAGTAGGGGTTGATTGTAATTGAGCTCATTATCCTTCAATAGATTGTTTATTAACATATTTACTTGTCAATCTTCTCTCTGTTACTGCTCACGATCTTTCACTTAAGTTGGTCATGAATTACTTGTTGTCTTTGTAGATTTTTTTCGGTATAGGTAAGTAATGTTGATAAGTTGAAGAGAAACCAATACTTCAAAGGTTCATCTAGCCCCAGCTCTCCATCCTAAGGGTGAAGCGGTGACTTCGGCTCAATGACCTTTTGTTTAACTGATTTCTGGGTATTTGAGTGGGCAGACTTTGAACCTGCCCATTACCCTAATCCTAGCATTATCAGTACAACACAGTCCATCAAAAAATTGTACGAAACTGATCTCGTAAAAGGTTATCTTCTCGATATTTCTCTGGATTAACCCGTGGAACAAAGTTGGACATTCAAAATGAATTCTATAGCGATTGTATATTATATAAATGAACTTTGCATTAAAGCATTAGGTGACATTTATCTCAAAAATATCAATTTTTTAATGAGTACCCTTTACAGTTACAATTATATAAATGAACGAGAGAATTAGGAGCTACTTCAGATAGGTGTGGCTGAATTGACTAAGCTTATAAGTAGTCTCTCGAGCGATCCAAAACCAATACTTGTTTACTTGTATTCATCGTACTGCGTTGTCAACAGTCTTCACCATGAAAGATTTAAAATGTAAAGTTGTTCATTTCGTGTATAACTGTTCTGTAACAAGTTCATTCCTTACTGCTCTAAGTGTTGCCGTCATAACTTTGAGCTACTTAGAAATTGATCCTCAAAAAGATGTAATTTAAGAGTACTGTCCCAAAGTCCCGCATCAAATACATTCCTGTAGTTGACTTCTTTTTCTTTTACTCAATAAAAGTATTGTATTCATTAATTACTGGTTAATGTCTTGTGATGTGATTCTATTTAACTGTACTCTTTGGAATCATTTTAATCATTAAGCCTACTTCAGTCGGCATTAGGTAATTACATGGCTCAGTGATTTTTGATGAGTAGACAAGCGTAGGCTCATTTCTCATCCATCTCTTTCAATTGACATCACTTTATAATGCCAAACGAGTACATTAGATTCCAATATAACATCTGAAATAATTACTGGTTACCAAATACAGCTCTTGTCCTTCTACCCATCCCATCCTATCTTGGAATCCTTGTCTCCACTTTAGGCATGGTCACCATTCTCTCACCTCACTCATAAACTCTCATTCAAACCGTTTTACTTTTCGCTACAATACCTTCTAAAGTAACTGCTAAAAATTTTGCAATGGACCGGATTCATTGCGGATTTTCTGGAAGCTTTCATGGAATTTCCATGATAGGAAACTCCCACGCTTATATCCATGACATGTTCGGCAACCTCTTTCTTGCTTATTTGACAGCAGAATGACCGGAATGTCCACGAGTTCGATTCCGGCCACTCAACTGCTGGAACTCATTGAAATTTGTGTCAAGTATTCGGCCATGAACTCCTCCTAAGCAGTTCCGTTCCCTACTCTTCACTGCCTCGAACCACAACGTCGAAGACAGACTTAGATCCGGTCAACTGATTGCGATATCATGAAATATCTCTGTATGCTATGCGCATACATGAGAGTGGCTTGGAACTTTCCAGAAAATCTGGGGAGAAACTAGGCTATTGTGAAATTTTCGTCGCATGTTTTCCGTAAACAACCAAACAGTATGCTTACAGTTATAATGCCTACAACTACATGTATCGTCGCCGCAATAGCAATAATTTTAGTTGTAAATAGTATGGCCGATGCCATCAAACTGGTAAGTCATTACCATACTTTTATTTTAAAAAAACGGGATCAAAAATAAGTTGTCGTATTCTACGAAGGAGTCTCCGCTTACAGTAATCTGTTTTCAGCGGGAGTACCGGCGCCCAATATGCACACCCGAACAGACTTGTTCCTATGAGGCATTCGACATGGTATTTGCCCTATGTGATTGTCCGGGTAAGGATCATACATGCCCACAAAATGAAGGAAATGCCGTCGAACATCGAGGAACGCTTTATAACGTGAGTTCCCTTGATGGTGTTACCCGATTGTGGAGTTTTACCCAGGTGAATGCCCCGAAGGCATTAGTCAAACCATTTTTTTGCTTCGCCTTCTGGTTCTGCTCCTATGACATGTTCTGGGAAAATTTGAAAGCTGCAAAATAAAAGTCAAACGATCAAATTTTTCGGGTGCGCCTACGCATTCCATTTCCATTCAGAAACGGTCGAGGGCGTGTGTACTTGTCACTCATTACATACAAACACTTAATTGCGAGGGTTGGCTGCTGCGTATGAGGGAGGAGGGGGAGAAGGCTGATGGTGGAAGAAGCATGATGGTAGCCACAGTTTGTTAGAGTTGGTAGGAACCGTCACAGACACGACTCCTCAGCTTCTAAGAAGCCCGAAAGTTTCATTACCCAAGGGGAAACGTGCCTTCTAGAGGCATATGCCATTTCAAATGGAGCACATTTGTTGTGAATACAATCAGCTGATACACGCCAATAACTAGCACACTTTGCTCCGCACCGACTGAAATCTCGTCCAAACACCCACCCGTCATTAAGACTTAACCAATCTTTTTGACAATTAATTAAGAAAAGGCCGAAAAAGGTCTCGGAAAATTCAAGATTGTTGTGGATTTTCTTTTTATTAACCATCGAACTACTCGGCATCAATCCCTTCACGCCGTGTACCTCAAAGAGGTCCAGAACATTAAGATACCCTTTGATAAAGTGCTCAATTTCTCTTGGGAATGCTCTACTTTGGCCGCCAGTTTGGGCCATGATGGATTTAGCCTCGCAGGGGGCAAGCGCTTCTGAAGTGTCGTTGAAAATGCTAAACGACTGAATTGAGGCCTAGTATTCGATATTATTTTTTAAGGTGTTTATCAGCCTCGTTCAGATAGACATAATCTGGCAGGTGTACTACTTACGCTGGTGGAATAATCTGGAACATGATGATAAACAATGATGAGGCATTGATAAAGATTAGAGGCTCATAACTAATCCTTTGTTCTAAGCTGATTGCCCACAGCCATAATAACTGAGCTCTTCATTAAACCCATGTTCAGCCAACTATTTTCAGTTTTGCACGTCCCGGAATGTACCAATTTGTGAAGATGGCCAAATTTCTACGACTGTAAGTGGAATTCAAACGGCAATTTATTGTGTTTGTCCCGAAAGCCATGAAATGGTCCAGCAACCGACTCAAGCCAAAGATGAGACGAATTATACATGCCGTCAGGTAACAATACGAGTACCTTCGATTTTTTTTCAGCTAATTAAGGGGTTCTACGTCACCAATTATGTACAATTAAGCCTATACTCATATAGCTAAATCAAGTAATGCTCGGATTACTATTACTATTACTCGGATACCTTTTGCTCCCATACATGACAAACTCAATCCCTCCTTAAATGGCTCTACAGCTTTTTTTTCTACAGCTGTACAACACCGGGATCAACAAGGTCATCGGAATGAGAAAGACTACAATACTGTATTGGATTACTACAGGTGTTTTGCCTGTGCATTGTGTTGTGTGTGAATAACTCTAACAACTTCCAGATACACTAACAATCATTTCCATTTACTGCCTTTGTGGCCTGTTGTAGACAAAAGAAACTAGGAAAAAAAGGAGACCCTAAAAATACCCCTCATTGTACTTTCCATTTTTTTCGTGCTCTGACATCATCGAACACCTGTTAGAAAGTAGAGTCTCTGGCACTGGATTACGTACCTCGAAAGAAGTTCAACAATAGCTTTGCTTGGAAGTATTTAAGGGAAAAAATGAGCTGTTCGAGTACCTTCGAAGTTGCTATCGGAATGGAAAGAGAAGCACCAAGCCTTTTGATTGATGATGACATGATGACATGATGACATGATTAATCCTGTTCCGAGAGCGCCCCCTATTCGACCACCTCCAGAATCCCTTAACAATGGCTTGTGCTGGTCAGCCGACGTATGAATCAGTTTTTTGCCTTTCCAGTCGAATCTTATGCCAATAAATCGAAGGCGAGATGGAGGGCCTGGATGGTCTAGGTTACTATCAAGTAGGAATTCGATCGCCGGGCCATAAGTGAATGGTACTGTGTCACTTGTCACTACAGCACCTAGACGATTTGTTTTTGAAGTAATTGGGAACATCAGAGCTTAATTACTCACGAAACCAAAACACGAGCTCGAACTGAGTTTCGTAAACGTATGAGCTGATTCAGGGTTGCAGGATGAGTTTCGGAGGACCACCAACTACACTAAGCTGCACCACATAGCTAAGCTCAACCCAACTTCCTCAATAGACTCTTGAGAGTTCCTAGCTTTGCGATGAGCTGCACCACCTTGTCCATCAATGACACTTTTTTCAGATCATAGCCTAGAGGTGGTTCACCTCTAGAACTGTGGTTGAAGAACTTAAGGGAGTATAAAAGCTGTATCAACCAGTAGCATTGTCCTCCGCGGTGTCACAGCTTTGCTTACCACCCTTCTTTTCATATTTCATTTTCCGAGCACTTTCTCTAGGTTTTTCTCTAAGTGCTGGCCATACTAGGTTGGTTTTGAAGTGGGAATCGTTGAAGCGTCGAGTGGCATGCCTTACGGGCTCTTCATTCCAAACAGTTTAAAGTGTTAGAAAATGTTGATAAAGCTGCAAGTAATAGTAGTTTTTTTTTCATTTTTTAATCCTTATAACACTGCTTGATACCTACTAATAAGGTCTTCGTCTTCGAAGTATCTTTAAAATTCTCCGAACATTGAATTTTTCAGAAACGACTTTGCAGCAACGACGAAGCTTGCGCCATAAGGAGCTTTGTGGGCGAGATGAGGTGAGTGAAGTGTAGGCATTTGTTAGCCAAGGAGTCATCCTCCTCGAGACTAATCGTTCCGCTTGAGTCACTAGAACCTCAAAAAAACTGTAAACAAAAAGGTAGCTACTGCAGAATGATATCTGTATTCGGTAGATTGTAATGATATCATTAGCCACAAAAAAAACTAATTTCGTCAGCAAGACGTCATGGAATTTCGTAAGCAGTCTAATTTTGGAATACCTATAAATTTATCATATTAGGGGGTAATGTAAAAAGTTACCACAATAGAGCAGTTTATTTAGTTATGCATAGACATCCACCACAGGGCGGAGCTCAAGTACCGTATTGCCACTAAATCGCATTGGCCAGTGATGTCATTTGAACGAAGAATTAGAAAAGGTGGAGCTGGTACGGATTAGGTTAGGGAAGACCCTCAGGCTTTGATCATTCCTGTTGTAGGATGCTCCCACATACTCATTCGGAACTGGAGTAGAGGAATACTTGAAGTGCAAACCACTAGGTAGCTTGATTGGACTGGTCTACGGACAAAACAGGGTTTCCGTCCACACTGGTGTGCACAACTTAGGGACGAAATGGATAATGCAACATAAAATATTGAGGACTGGGTGGAAATAAATGAAAGTGTGGGGATATATTGCCAGGGCTATGACGGTTATGCACAAGAAGCTGGACTTCCTTTCGTGGAGGAATAGTTCAAATGAAGCGAGAAATATAGCTGCCCGCACAAATCGAGGCAGTTTATTGGTACAAAAAATTTTTCATTAATCGGCCAGTAGCTACCAAATACTGTGGTGGTATTCCTCTATACATCGTGTCCCGCAGAGATCGTCTGGATGACTTGGCACGAGGAAGGGCCATCGGGAAACACGAAAAAGGTCGAATCATGCAGAGTGTAGCTCAGGAGTCTATTATCGCTTGCATCGTTGTTTCACGTGCACGGAGAGCCCTCCGAATCTGATACTGCTGCACGAAGGCGAGGAGGTGTCGACCAAGTTGAATTAAGTGAGGTATGACCGCTACATTGTGTAGCAGACAAGAAGAGATCCACGTTGATCAGGTTCTGTGATTCCAATGTCATTTAACAGGACTTCGAGGCAAGCCATCTCGCGCACTACAGTGGCACGACAACTGCATGTGCACTGGGCGCTGGATTCATTTTTATGGATAAAAGTGCGCGACCGTATCGGACAGCACATGGGGAGGACCTCTTAGCACAATGGCATATTCGGTGAATGGAGTGGCCTGTCCGCGTCCCCGACTTGAATCCCATGGTGCACGTGTTGGATGCACCGAGTAGACGCGTTGCAACACGTCCAAATGCACCAGTGACCATCCAACAATTGTCAATTGTGCAGATTGAAGAGTGGAATGCCTTACCACAGGAACTCATCACCAACTTCATGGGACGTATGGGATTGCGTCGAAGAGCATTTATTGCTGTCCGTGGTGATCACACGCCCTATTAGGAAATGCGTCGCTACATTTGAAGTACTAGGATAAGTTGTGAGGAACTATGTGTAATCAGTACCTTTGAACAAAAATGTCTTATCTGCTCGTCTTATTTCGGTTTTCTCACAGTTGCTTCCTGTGCAACACCTTGATGGTCCTCTATCGGTATGGTATAAATTTCATCGAGCTCTGTCGTCTGGCAGAGATACAGTAATCGAAAGTTGTCTTTGTCCCAAAGTTTTGTACACCAGTGTAGTTAGATGACTTCAAAGTGATGACTTATTCGATTGGTCGACTTGGAATTTAGTTGTACTAGTTCTAACGTGCTTGTGCTAATGTTGCTAGTTGGGCCCACACCAACTCAGCCCATACTGATGTATTCGTGGTCATTCCGTTCCAATTGTGGTACCATACGAGGTACTATGCTGTAAAAGCTACAAAGGAAGGTGACCTATCAACGAATCGTTCAACCGATCCATTGAATTGATCGCTCTCTTACTGTAGGGCATAAGGCCCCTATAATGACCATGCCGTATGGCCAAATTTGGGCAAGAACACTGATCGAAGCTCTCCTTCGCGAGCTCGGATTCCTTCTGTTTTTACTGCGATTAAATTAACTAGTGAATTCAAAAAGGGATAGAATAATACTATGTAATACTATTACTATTACTGGTGTGGTGCAGTAGGAGCGAAATGGGCGCGCCGCGGCGAGAGGGGCGCCGCGCGCGAAAGAAAGTAGTGGAATGGAGCAGCAGGTAAGAAACTCAGGAACAAACGGACTAACAGTAGAACCATGCCAAAAATAATGATCGCATATCGTTTGACCTGTATGGAGAACGTTAGAGGTGTAATAACGGCGAAGCGAATGGTCCGCGACTGCCGCGAGCGGCGGATCAATCAAACAAGACCGATCCCACTGCCCGTCTCCCAAGTTAATGATTTTTTCAGGTTTTGCGATTGTCGCACGGGTTCGTCGTGTGTGTATCCATCGAAGGAGGGCGTTTCACCATTATCACGTCAAACCGGCAAGTGCGTCGTAAACAACCTATAGGACGCCGTTCAACAATTACTCGTCATCATAATAATCATCCCTATCATCTCTATCATCATCGTCATAATCCTCGTCTAGCAGCGTTTCCAATTGTATGATCATCCTTAAAATCCCTATTTGTATATAGATTGAGTAACAGCTGCTTCTGATGATTATGTAGTAGTGATTTCTTCTTATCTTTGTTCCTTCCCCTTATAGAACACTAATAATTACCGTTTCATGCGTGTACAAGTATTGCGGTCTCCGTTGTAGTGTAGTCATTGTCTTGCAATAAGAAATTGTACGTGCATACTCACGTAGACATCCTTATATCACGAAATTACATGCTTAATAAGAAAACCGACGCGTGTACTACTTATTTTAACTTTACTCTAGCGATTTTAGTTTGACTGTTTTTCTACTTTGTATCATAAACGATTTGGATCCAACGTCACATTCATAAACAGATCATGACAAACTTAATACAAACCATTTTTTAAAATATTTTTGAATTAACATAATGGCCTGCGACATGAGTATCGTCACAGCCACGTCGCGGTGGCAGCGCGTGGCGTGCCATAAGGGCCAAAATTGGCATCGGGACGAGTTCCCATCTCTCCTTTGAATGTAGCACAACTCTGAAAGCTTTCCCCAAAGTCTTGGAAATACCCAAACAGAGCTCTATAGGTATAAAAGATCTCATTTTTCGAATGATCATTTAATTCGGCTTGTAACTCGTCAAATTAATCACCAGTAAGTAGTGACTACAACAGGATTGAGCGAATTGTTGATTCATTGATCATACTAAGTTTTGACGTAAACTCTGACGAATCAGAAAAAAACGTGAATTTCAGTTGGTTTCATGATATAGCACATGTATTTTGAGCCAGGATTGAGCCATGCTTAACATAATCCTTGATATATTCATCACGCCACGTAACTCCTCCATGTCCACCCCCCCCCNCCCCCCCCCCCCCCTCGCCCCCTCTTCTCTGCTCAACACGCTTAGCTGATTGAGTAGATAGCGGAAAAGCCGTAATATTTCATGGAGGGGGACCCTCATGTTGGGCTAAAAATTAGAATTTCTTGATTCTCCTCGGTTACTGTAGCTGAACTGATGGGTCTTGAGAGATTTGCTTGTTGCCTGTGTCGGAAACCAACCGCATTCCAGACGTTCGCGAATCTTGGCTGTCAATTTTCAAATTTAAAAACACAAAACTGACTGCTTGAAAGCGCGTTGAGAAAATGCACCTACAAAAACGTGACCTAATGACGCACATTCGAGAAACAGATGCGCTGTGTTGCAAAGTGTAACTTGGCAACTATTTTATTTTTACAACATCTCTACAAGAGAAAACAAATTTATTTGCGAACCTTAGAAAACATGTATGAACACAAAAGCGCAAATCAATAATGATATGTTGCTCAACAAAAAAAGTAGAAAAAAACGATGGTCGTTCTTTATACATTGACTAGATTTCCCATTCAGCGAATTGTTTTAGTGAGACATCCATAGAGAGAGAAAAGAACAACACTGTTAAGTACAGATGAACGTGTTGTAATGTGTATCACAAAGAAAGAAAAAGTAAAAAAAAATATAAAAAGGAAGTGAAATGAAACAAAAGACACACTCCGCTTCACTGGAACCTAATGGCTACAATCGCTGTGTTGAACACGCTTTTAGCACAACGACGATCTACTATCCAATAGCATTAAAATGTTTTTTGAAGGAATCCTAGACGAGGAAGCTTAACAGCAATGGCAGTTTGATAATGACACTGTCGCGAAAATGAGCATAATAGAGCGTTCATACTAAGCCGAAAGCGTCAAGCGTACTTCGGCGGGCGAGCGATACGCGCGTCTCCTTCGAAGTCCACGAATTTGAGTTTCAGAAAAACAAAGCATCGTTCATACACCGAATTACGTTCATATTTGGAGCGAGAAAACCCAATATATCGAGAAGCTCGGAAAGTAAAATGTAAAGTTTCATGGGATTTTACAAAACCAATGTCTGACCGGAAAAGGGAATACAAATACAGCTCGATTTTATATTGTACTACTTTTTTTCACTGGTATTCATCTAGTCAGCCGATCTGGGATCATCGTAGTCTTCAAAATCTGGGTCGATGTACTCGGTAAATCTGCTCGGGGTAGGGCGATTCCTGAAGTACAAGTGTTTCTGTCAGACAGTATAAAGTAAATGACACAACCCACTTTTACTGTGAAGGGAAACAAGTATTATGAGACTTGTCAACAGTCGCAATCCCACTGATAAGTCTATTCTCTTTCGAGACATTTGTCAACTAAAGAGAACAGACCCACCAATGAAAGGGCGAGGAGGCAGTTGCGTCTCCGCCCATCGTGGATAGTGTCTCACAAGGGACATTTGTTAGAAGATTAACAGTGGTTACAGTATGAATGGGGTAAGTTATGGTCACATACAAGTACATACATGGTGTAGAGGTAATACGATGAGACAAAACATGCATCCTCACATTCGTCTTTCTTTGATTTCACGTATCCTTCTGAATGAAACGAGTACAACACAAAACAACGACACAACACGTAACACGAACATGACGAGGACCACAGAGGATCATCACATCCAGACGTGGAGCTTAAAAGAACCCGGATCGTACCTGTTGATACTATCGAGACTGATGGGATTACTGTCCCTGACTTGCTTCCCAAGGCTCTCGAATCGTTGCTCCCAAAATTTCGGCGTACGCAGTGCGGCACTCAGGTACGATGAGCCGTTTGTGCGCCAGTCAGAATCACCCTTAATATTCATTCATTTATTAGAATGTAACTTACTTTATTCGAATAAGTTCTCATGAAAAGTTTGCTTGAACACATGCCGACTTTTTCGGCGATTAACTTGTTTAGCGACCCGCTTTTTTCGAATTTCATAGAAATTAGGGAAGTTACTGGAATTTTTCTGTAGCGGTAGCAGTTATGCTCTCGAATTCTTTTAACCTTATTTGCCAGAATATTCCCTGATGGACTATCTGGAAAACTACAAATGTCAGAGAAGTTGAAGAGTAGTCGTCATAGACTGCAACTAGTAAGCCGGGTACTCCTAAACTTCTTTTTGAATTTGGGAAGTTGGAAGGACCGAGTAGCACAGAAATTAGGATTACTGCGAAGTTGAAAAGTGGTTGCTTTCTAGATGTCAACACCTGTAACTTTTTGAATTTTAATAGGGCCCATTGAATTTTGCAAGTACCAGTAAGCCCGATCATTCTTAGCAGGAGTCGCTAACCTTGGCTACCAGCCAAAAAACCCAGAAAGTACTGCCAAGGGTAAGAGCTGCACTGCTGAGCAGGGCAAGCGTCATTCTGATAAAATCGCATTACAGCGATTCAATCATTGAAACATTTCCCTACATCTCTTCCATAGGACTTTTTTGAAGAGCTTGATCACCCTGGAACCTGACAGCTGTTGAAAGAGTTCGTGTATTAATCATTCACAAATGTTTTGATACCCTCCGAATCATCAAGTATCAGTAGCTATAGCCAAGAGTTCAATGGCGGAGGCGTAGGTTCGCGATAGACTCCGTGATGGACGTTAAAACCAAAAAACTCTCGTCAAATGCAGGACAGCGGAGGTTTCAAAGCCGAAAAAGTCCTAACAAAACTATTTTGGGAAAAAGCGACCCAACAGACTTCACTATACTTTTACTTGAACAAGTTACTGGTTATCGTAGTACCAATGTTGTGGGTCGTATTGAATATTTCAATTCACCATGGAGAGACTGCTGCTTCTCGATTTCTGAACCAAAGGCTAAGAATCTGCCGAAGTTGGACCAACTAAAATTTACTGGCTTCAGCTCCTCAGTTCACTCGCTCAAGCACTCACGACACCCAACTTCGAAAAAAAACTCGATTCTCATGTTCTATGCGGATTTTACGCCCCCCTTTAACAAGACGTTCAAACAAGTAGATGACTGTCATGTGAAGCAAAAACTCGTATTGACTCGGACTGTTTCTATGTGGGCGGAGTCGTACCAAACACTGTCATTGGTGGACGATCAGTTTTACCTACTCGGCCAATCGTAACCGGTAAATTTTTTACATTCGCCACCTGTAAGAGGGACCACCAGGTGGCAATTCGCAACTGCCGAGTACACTGGCCTCCGCTCAAATGCTTGATCATTGTTCTGAGTACCACCCATGAGTTGTGTGACTGATTGAGCTCAAATCAGAACAAATTCATACTTTGAAGTATGAATTTCAAGAAACATAATTAACGTGAGCTAAGAATTTGTATTCATTTTGAAAAGTACATATCTGTTTTAGGTATTACGGTACTTGACATTAATGATGATTACTGAGGTTTTTTTTTGCAGGGTTCTTCTGTCACTGATGAACTACACAATAGCCATTATGAGTAATATCGATTATTGTTATTGTTATGGATTCATAGAAGTAATTTCAATGAAGTATTCTAATAACCTTTCAAAATCATCATAAAGTAAGTTTCATGAGATTTCTTAACACATCATTAACTAGTAATTAGTACCTTCGTGAACATATAGCCGGAGACGGGTGTTGAACCTTTGGCGCTAACCTCACCAAGTAATTTCTTCTCCCATTCCTGTGGTCTAAACAGATTTCATACTTAACAATCACAAAAATCGATAAAGGAAATCAATGATTAAACGAAAATGACCTTACCCTCGTGGTGTGTACTTTCCTTCGGGTCGTTTGAATAAGTCTACGGAATGTTGCAAATCGAAGTCGAAATAGTCTGGATCATCTCGATTAGGACGTGAATAGTACGGCTTGGGACAATACATCTACAAAACAGTTTTTTGTAGAAGAAAATTCAAAGCTGTCTGATCAGCATAACTTGGAACACCCGGCTCCGTCAAATCATATGGTGAACAACTACGAAAAGGCTGACTTCCAGGAAGTCAGAAGAGACTCACGGAAAAATCGTAGTCATCATGTTCAGATGCCGATCCAGCTGATGGATTGGGAGCGTTGCGGAATTCCTTTGCAGTGATCTTCATACGTGTTGGTAGCGGCGCGGTTTTCAGCAACCTTAGATTGTCCGTAAATAAAATAGAGCTCGTAATCTTTCATTTTCTTAGAATTTTCGCCGACAGCTTTAAAATGTAGGGAACACGTGAGCAGTACTAGTTGAGTAAGGAATGAGGTGCCGCATTATAGGCCGCATGGAAAGCTACAGATTTATAAAACTTGTTGTCTGAATTTTTACGCAAAGGAAGGTTCCACGACTTCGGAACGCTTCTGAATGTATGGCCTATACTTTAGAAAGATATTGGCTTAAACCGCTGTTTACTAATTTTGATCATAAAAGACTATTGATTGATCAAAAACACGAAATATGTAGGTATACAACTAATAGCGATACAAATCGAGAACTCGCCTTTTTTCGAATTTCTTGATTTTCAAATTTTTATTTTTCTCGTTTCAGTTTTTGATTAAAGAACTCACATTAAAGTTAATGAAGTCAAAGAAGAGTGAGAAAACCATTTTAACAAGGAATTCGACCAGTAAATGAGCTCAGTGAGTTGNATACAAATCGAGAACTCGCCTTTTTTCGAATTTCTTGATTTTCAAATTTTTATTTCTATCGTTTCAGTTTTTCATTAAAGAACTTACGTTAAAGTTAATGAAGTCAAAGAAGAATGAGAAAGCCATTTTAACAAGCAATTCGACCAGCAAATGAGCTCAGTGAGTTGTTTGAATTCATTTTATTCATCTTTACAAGTAATTTATTAACTTACATCGCTTCAACGTCGTTAGCCCTCTGCTCATATCGTGATTCTATTCCTTGGGAGAATGACAATGCCGGTGCAGCATACGGTCCAGAGCCAGCTGAACAGACCCAGAGTGTCCATGAGAATTTCAACAAGACAAGGTCCCGATCATCAGTACTAACCTGCATAGCTTCGTCCTGTTGAGGAAGTCGATGCCAATACTGATCGATCAGCTAAAGATGGTGTAAACAGGCTACTTTGGGATCTGAACGATAGCATTGAACGATTAGGAAAACCAAAAAAATAAAAATTGGAAGATTATGTTGGATTTACCTGACGCTGGGAATGAAGCCGGTCTCGGTGTCAAGGTTTCTAAACGGACTTTCACCTCGACTTTTCCTCGTTCGAGACAGTGTCGACTCAAGAAATTGCGTTTCGTCTTTACTTCTTTCAACTGACCGTTTTGCCTACAAGAAGGTTAATATGACTAGTAAATAAATAAACAACATTACTCCTTTGATGTACCTTATGATAGGATTCTTTAACACTTTCCTGCCATAATTTCCATGACGGCTTGTTGTCATCACATAGATGCTCCAACCTATCATCAAAATCGATCCTCTTAAATCTTGGCGTTGCTTTTGGGAATCGTGTGGTGCTGAAATTGACAAAATTCGTGGAAAAATCGATAAGTATGTGAAATGTTTCAAAGGGAAATGTAGTACAGTCGGAAACCCTGATGTTCCATTCAAAAAGGTTAACTAATCCAGTAAAGCACTCAATCGAATCGATGCGAATAATTTATCCCAATATTTCGGAGAAGTATCCGAGGTCAACTTTATGAAGTACTAAACATTGAACTGGTAATGAGTTTTGAGAGTTTTGGGATCTCAACTATCTTACAATTACTTCCTCAAGCTCAACGGTTCATATCCTATCAAGATATGGAAACATCTGCTGCGTTTAGGGAGCGCCCAGGATGGCAGCGATGAGAACATCTTTTTTCGAATTAATCTTATTCATAACAATTACTAGCTATAACCCTGCATACTAGTTCCTTTACCAATTTCCTTTTCTCGTTCAATTCATATCAGAAAAGAACGGAGTTCCGGAAAAGAATTTCAGCATTTTTGTTGGGTCACAGCACCCATCGCAGAAAAAAGGGCGTAGGAATGAAGTTAAGACCCAAAAAAGCTGAATCTTCAAAAGCTGCTACTAACAATTCCTACTTTGTGAGATCATTTTCGGACTGTGATCAATAAAAGAACTGTGACCAACGGTTCAGCTAGTCAATGTACAGCCTGACCAAGGCGCCCTTTGGTTTACCAAATTTTTTTTCGTCGTTGTAGTTCTATTTTATTCTGGATTTCCTGAATTTTCTCGACTCAACGGGAACGACGCTGACGCAATTTTGTAGTTGTATGAAGTTTTGAATCGTTTTCCGAAGTCGTAAAAGAGTAAGGTTATTCTCGTTCGTCGTCTGGTTGTAGTACACTTTGAAAAAGACCCCATTTTACATCTCACGAGTTTCTCGTGTTCTCGGAAACCTACGACATTTCTTTTGAAGACAAGGGGCAGTACTGTGTAAAGGACTCGGCTGCTACGTAATACCTTTTGACGCCTAACGGCCTTTTTTGGTTTTTTTAAAACTTACACCGACTACTTTTTACTACAGCTAAGTATCGCTTATCCTAACCGCAACGTTTTTTTCTACAAGTCATTCGAGCATTTTTACGAAAACATTTCTAAGTAGTTTCTCGTTGTCGAGGCCGCTCTGGCGAGAGTGAAGTGTAAGCCGACAAAGCTCAGGCAGCCACCACCGCAACCGATGTGCACACAGAAAAACCGTTCGAGAATCACGCCTAGTGCCATGGGACTTCTTCCCGAAGATTCGCCAGGGCAGCCACAAAATCTCGCCACTCAAATCAATAGGTATCTATTTCACTGGTTGTCGTTGGAAAGGGTCTAGTATTATAGGATCAACAATATTCAACCTGAAATCTGAAGTAGATCCGTAATCCGTAGAGTCATATAGAGGTCTTGATGTAACGAGGGGTTCAGGAGGAGTATAGGTGGGCGGTACGGATGATTTGAGATCGAGTAAACGCATGGATTCTTCGATTAAAGCAGACGACGGCGATTTATCCACCTGAAAACGGTTTCAATGATAAATGCTAATAACCAATTAACCTTACAATATCCAGAAAAAAAGCTCGGATTGTCAGAGTTTTGAGAAAAATTAACTGGCTAATGGGGATTCATGTCCACCGAAAAACACTGGACTAACAGCGAAAAATCGGCTCCACTGGGCGGGGCCTACAATCCTTACTGGATAGTAAGTTCTGCATGATCATCTGACCCTTCTGCAAAATTTTTAGCGGCCCTTTCAGGAAACTCTGTTTTGGATGGTCCTATTTCCCCCTCGGGGAGTTTCTAAACTGATCCTGCTTGAGGTCATGACAGGAGGGAGTATCCTACCTTTGGAGGCAATGTGAGCACTGTGGACGAACTGGCTGCTGTAGCGCCATTCGGCATTGCCGATTGACCAGCCTGATCTTCCTTCTCGTCTTCGGGATCGGCCATTCTTTGTGTATTACCTCAAAAACTGGTTACTTCACACACCACACTGGTTGATAGGTTGAGTATGATGCAGATCTGACTGAGAGCATTCACTTTTAGGTTTTCGGTATAAGTTGATGGGAACAAGTTGATGCTATGCAAGATCTGGACAGCTGTTTGTTCGGAGATGGTGCAAGATCGATTGACCGATAGATGAACATTGGATTGGACACTTGCACGTGCAATGATTTGTACGAACAGAAGGTAGGTCAGAGGTGGAAAATCGATATCGTGCCAGTAAGCCCGAGTGTTGTTAAGTTACATGGTTACGGTAGAATCACGAATCACAAGGAGATGTGTTAGTTTCACAATGATTAACCATCTATAAAAAGTAAGTGTCGATATGAGAAGGGATTACTCATGAGTAAGACACGAAAGAGTAAACATGGGATTTTTTGGCACGAATATGGCATAGCACAAGGGTGATAAAGGGAACGGGTTATGAGATAAGCTAAGAACGAGATAAATGTGATGAGCGTCAACGGAAAACGCGAAGGCGACATGGCTGAGGACGAATAAATCGTCGAAAACGCCATAATTAGGATTGTTGAAAAGAGTGCGGATGAAACAGTGTTTGTGTGAGTGGAGAACGTAAGCGGCGCGTGGGGGTGTGTTGTGCGACGCTCTCTTCGGCTGAGCACTGTGTAAAGCTGAGGATGAGGGTGAGGGATCGGTGGGGAGAGTGGAAACAGCGTCGACGAGCGATCTCGGACAAGTCCACAAAGTTGAGGAGCTTCGTTCCTTGCAATCCAATCTCCACATTGCCCTATGTCGCACGAAACTCCCTCTGTCTAGTCAGCCAGCCTGTTAGTTGATGGGAGTGTGACAGTTGAACGTGTCAAAACCGTTGAAGTTCGGCACGTCCTCAACCGATGACGAGCCTAACCCTATGAGCTTCGGCCCTTTGATCAGGCCTAATCTAAAAGGCTATTTCATCGAAATGTAAGCTCCATGCTGTAGAAGGGCAAGTATAACCATTACCAAGAGTACCGAAACTTACTTGAAGCCGTCATCATGCCTTCCCAAGCACTCTACCAGTACTGCTTACTACTAGAACGGACAGCACAGTATAGCGACAGGAAACTGTAAAAGAGAAGCCAAAGGGAGAAAAGGCGGTGAGGGTAATCCACCAGCCTTAGCGGAGGGCTAACCGCAGACAACTGAAGCAGTTTCCAGCCTAGGCTAATTTGATGGACATCCAGCTGGCTGCAACATGTGCAAATCGTCAGCAAGACTTTAAACATGCACTATTAATGGTTATAATTGTGGGCTAAGCGTTTCCACTCTTACCGTATACTCCCTCCATCGTGATGTAGCTCTCGGGCAGGTTCTAGGAAGAGCTCCGGTGCCTCGAGTGGATAAAGGCGAGCTAAACGACTACCGATTACCGGACGGTGCAAGTGGTATGCGAGAAAGTTCTAGAAGAAATTCAACTTAATGGGATATAAAATTCAAATAAAGATCCTGCCAGTTCACACTTGAACCTCAAAGTGCTTGCTTTTTAGATGTTAAGGTGGATTCGCATAGGAGGGATATTACAGGAACTTCTCTACACAGCTAGAAATTGAGTTACCTGTTTGCCCCGGGCATAGTCCTAGACCAAATGCCGGATTAATGGTATTCTAGTCAACCGTGCTTTCCGTCAGACCTGCATAGGTTAAGTAGTACTACCCCATTTCGGCTAGATACCTGCTGGCCTGGATATTCATCCAGCTCTGAAACACATTGAAATGCACAGCCGGCTACTGTAGCACTCTTTAAGTTACAAGAACTAAACTGTAATACGCTAGACACTAGTTATACTTGAGCACTGCGTGAAATAAACGGATTTCGGGTTGAGGATGTGGTCTCCGAATGTGTTTGTATGATTAGCATAGTGTAATAGTGGGTTCGTGGGCTCTGAGGTGACAACCAAGTGCATGGGAACAAGTCTGGGCAAATTTCTGGCAGGAGAAGGAGCAAGACCTGTTCCAAGTCCTTCAAATTACCCCCAGTAGACAGTAACCGCTACGCTACGTGTGAAATATTAACAGAAAGCAGAAGCTTTCAGTTGTTTAACGTATAACGCACTTATAAAAAGTATGAAATTTCATAGAGTTGGCCAGGAACCCTCGGGAATCTTTGAAGGATGTGGTTCGCAGTATGGTTAGATGAGACCACACGGGTTCGGGACGGAGTGGGAGGGACTAGGAAGGAAGTCTGGGAGAATCGTCTTCCTGGGGATCGAGTACTCATCATCACCTTGACCAGGTCTAGAGTGCAGTAAGGTGCCACTACGTTTTGCTGTCAATTATTTCGGTCAAATTACTTCGAAAGTATGTACTCTTTCTACGAGGGTTTACCCAGAGAAGTTGTCTGTGGTTAAAATATTCCTGCGCAGTGAATAAATAAACATTCGATTAATTTCTTTATTTTTGTTTGTATATTTTAACATTATATTTTTTATTCTATATTTTGATTTTATTTTATTTTCCCCGAATGTTCTTGTGTTCTTGTGAGTATTTTAATCATAAACAACTATGCCAAGGTTAAAGCAAGAGAGAATTTATAGACTCAGAAAAGCATTTTTACCGGTGGAACTGTTAATTTAGTCAGAATTGGTTTTTTTCAGGCGCTTGACTCCCCAGCCATTACATGAGTAGCGGTGTGGTGCAGTAGGAACGAACTCGTCGCGTCGCGGCGAGAGAGATGTCGCCTGCGAAAGAGAGTAGCAGAATGTAACAGCAATTAAGAAACATAGGAACAAAATAATAGCAATAGAATCATACCAAAGTTAATAATCGCATAGCAATTGAGCTGCATGAACTGTTATAACGAGACAAATGGTCCGCGACAGCCGCGTGCGGCGGATCGACTACACGAAACCGTTCCTACTGCCCGTCTCCCCTTGAGCAGGGTCCAAAATTGTCAAGTTCCTATTACTGGAACCGAATTATACAGGTTAAGTTTGATGTTTTATACGGTCGTCTTTACTAATCGGAACTGTTTACTTCATGATGTAA